ATTCCATTCTATTCTATTCCATTCTATTCTATTCCATTCTATTCTATTCCATTCCATTCTATTCCATTCCATTCCATTCTATTCCATTCTATTCTATTCCATTCTATTCTATTCCATTCTATTCTACTCTATTCCAATCTAATCTGTTCTATCTCACTCTAATCTATTCACTGATGTAAAAAAACAATCAATGAATGGATTGGAATGGAATTATATATCAGATAGCATTTCCGGTAACGATAATAAGTATTGTTTCGAATTTTTTCTAACAAATATTTCTATTATAAAATTTATTAAGAAAAAAAATTTTACTCTAAATTAAGTGCACGTATGTATTTAATTGCATCAGATTTATCTATTCCATTATTATTTTATCGTTACTAAAGGAAAATGTACGTAACAGATAAAACATACTAATAGGCTAATGATTAGTCTAAATTAATAAATATTTTATTGCTTCTGTCATCAACCATTCTACTGTTTCAGCTATCCTTTTTTTTCATCGAAAAGTGTAATTGTGCGAGATTTGTTTATAAGGAAAAATTTTTTGCGACATTTCCTTTCATTTGTTTTGCTCATTTCTACTTGTACCTGTTTTTCAGTTAAATCATATTAAAATTTACTATATACAATTAGTTAGTAGCAAAAAATTTTCCGATTTAGAAAAAGATGAAAATTTAAACTTTTATGAATGAATGATAGTAAATTTGATTGTATTGGAAAATATAAGCAAAATCTAATATAATGTAAAGTAAATTTTATTTTTCAATTTTCCAAAAAAGTTATATCATGTTTATGTTTTTCCTCATTTTGCGTGCAAATATTGTTACTCGAATATAGCTATTTAAGTAATAATTCATTACAAATTTATCTAGGCAAAATTAAAATATTAATTTTGAAAAAAATGTTAGCTGTAGTTTGAAGGCATTAAAAAATTTGGAAAAGTTATGAATTCATTCGGCTTCTTCTATCCTTTTATTTGCTTTTAAAATACAAAGCGAAATGTTTTATTTTTTTGAGTGTCTAAGTTGGTAGATAGATATTACAACAATGATCTTATCAAGTTATTTCAGATTTAATTTTGAAAAAGTTGGATAGATTTTTTTAATTTTTAGTCTATGTACATCTACACACGCACATACTTACACATACACACACACATACACACACATACACACACA